ACATGAATTTTTAAAAGAAATTGAAAAAAAAACATTTTTTAAGAAAACTGTAACTTTAAAAAAAAAAAAACAAAAAAAAAACAAAAAAAAAACTGCATTTTTCTTTTAAAATCAATAAATAAATAAATAAACTAGAATATTTTAAAAAAACTTATTTTTTTAACTAAAAAAACTTATTTTTTTAACTAAAAAAATCAATGGTTTAGATGCATATATGCATATTTTTTCAAATGCATATATTCATATTTCTTATAATATAATATTTGTAAGTAAATCATAAAAATTCTCATTTTTATTAATCAATCTATAAACATAATAATACAAGAATTTTATTTGATACAAAATAAAATACAAAATAAAATAAAAAATGCTACAAAGATTCATAATGTTGTCATTTTTTTCATATCAAAATTTTCATATTTTCTTCAATTTATCACTTTTCACCTCTTCAATATTTTCCACAAATTCTTCAAAATCTACAATAAAATTAAAAAAAAATTATTAATATAAGAACACTCACAAAAATGCACATGTATATATATCATGTAAGATTCACATGTGATTATATCATGTAAGATTCACATGTAATTATACAATGTGATATTCACATGGGCTTGTATATTTTAAGATTCAAATGTGAATTTGACAAGAAATTTTTTAAAAATAACTAATGAAGAACACACACACAAAATGTATGTGTGATATAGACATAATTCTTATGTGATTCACTTGTGATTTATATGTGAATCACATGTAATTCATATGTTATTCACTTGTGATTTACATGTGAATTACATGTGATTCATATGTGAATTACATGTAATTCATATGTTATTCACTTGTGATTTTCATGCGAATCACATGTAATTTATATGTGAATTACATGTGATTTACATGTGAATAACATGTAATTCATATGTGATTCACTTGTGATTGACATGTAAATTACATGTGATTCATATGTGAATTACATGTAATTATATGTGCTTTACATGTGAATCACATGTAATTTATATGTGATTCACTTGTGAATCACATGTAATTCATATGCGATTTACTTGTGATTTTCATGTGAATCACATGTAATTCATATGTGAATTACATGTGATTTACATGTGAATCACATGTAATTCATATGTGATTCACTTGTGATTTACATTTGAATTACATGTGATTCATATGCGAATTACATGTGATTTACATGTAATTATATGTGATTTACATGTGAATCACATGTAATTCATATGTGATTCACTTGTGATTCACATGCGAATTACATGTGATTCTTATATATCTTCATCAAATTGCCATGATAATATTGTAACACCTTTTCTAGAGCTGACATAAGCTAATTCTGAGGAGTCATGCAAAGATATTTAATTGAAAGTTATTTATTTGAATTATGAGATTTTACATGAGGGTGTTTCGTTAGGAAAGTTGCAAGTTAAAACCTCCAACAAAGCCAATATTTGCCGTTGGAATTCATAGCCCGAAAAAATTATTCATCCAATTTTTTAATTAGAAAAGAAGATAAAATAAACATAAACACAAATCATCTTGCATCAGCCAATCAAATCAATAAGAATCAACCTATCTCATGATTAATAGATCCACCAATGTCTCATGTCAATTTTCACTTAGAACTTTAAAAAAAAATCTCAAATTTTGTTACATGGATAAAATATATGATTTTTATATACTTTCAAATTGCACGACAATAATAAAATACCAAATGGTTCATAATCTCTTTCAGAAATGTACTTCTGTAATGCAAAAAATAAGATTAATGGATCATGGAATATTTTTCTATAACAAAACAGCACAAAAAGGTTATAGTTTTTTACCAACATAATGGTTTCCTACTTTTTATGTAACTAACGATTCAACTTTTTTACTTTCCAATACAACACCAACTTAGAATATATATATATATATATATATATATATATATATATATATATATATATATATATATATATATATATATATATATATATATATATATATAAAGAGCACCAAGATCAATTACAACTGCCCTAAACTGGAAAAGTATGTATTTTTTTATTCCAATTCCAAATTGAAAAAAAAGAAAAGAAAAGAAAAAAGCTTGCAAAAATTATTATTGTTGTTCCATATGATGTCATTCTTTCAAGATATAAAGAGATGAGCATAAATCCAGATATTATTCCAGAATGATAAGAACTTGCTAAATATCCATGATCAACATTTAAAAAATTGCTTGAATCTATTACATCAAAAAACCAAAGCAAGATCAGAATTGTTTGGACAACATAGTAGTTGAGTTTCTTTATACTATGCATAGCCATCAAATGAATACATGCATTTTTTTACTGGATGCAGTTTAAAATCATATTATGGTGCACAAATATGGCTCTCTCCTCCTATATTTCACAAAATATAACCAAAAAAAAAAAAATTGTTCAGAATCCTAAATTGGAATTGGTTCATCATTCATGAAGTCAAGGTGAAGTTAACCTGTGATATTTTTCATTTAGGCATTTCATCGAACTTGTTGAGTGCAAACAAATATCTATATTTTTCAATAACACATGTGTCTATTTTTATACCTACAACCAACAAAAGATTTAAGTATTTTTAAAAAGATGTTGACTAAACAGGTTCAACTTAACGATTAGGCAAAAACATTTCATAAAAGTCAAACAAAGGTCAGGAATCAACAACAGAAACAAATGATACCAAAATTTTGATCGACAAGGGATCATCTTCTCCGTTCAGGTCTTCAATCGACAGTGAAGACTGAGATGAAGTTGGCGATTACGGTGTACTCCAGGGAACGAATTTATGGAGGATAAAATGATTCAAAATCAAAGCATCTTCAGTGGAGTTTTTTCTATGAAGAATGTGAGATCAAGGAGTTCAACAACAATGAAACTTCGATTGTTGGGGGATTTCAGATTTCAAATAGATTGATGATTAATGATGATAATTTGATCGATTGGGATCTAGAAATTGACGATAAATGTGGTTCGTCATTTATCTTCACCGTATTTGTGTGAGTAGAAGCAATTTTAGAATTAAAAGCATGGAATTGGATGAAGGATTGGAGGCAATTCGACGGAGGTGAGTCGTTGGAGGATGGTTCGTAGGTTTAAACGAGAGAGGAAAACGGGGAGGAGAGAGAGATGAAAATTTATTTTATCAGATACTATATTTAAGAAATCATTTAGTTATACTTTTAATCCTGTAATACCCCTGACCGAATTAATTAAGATACCCCTCCTTTTTTTTCTACTTATTTACAAAAACATCATCTTGCATCTCGACCCTTCCGTTTTTTGATTCAACGTTCCACCTTTAGTTCTCAGGTTCTCGGAAAACTTTATGTTCTCAAATGATCATTCCTCTGTGTGTGTGTGTGTGTATGTATATATATATATAGTGGAAAAAAAAAGAACATTTTTAAATTTGTTTTTGAGCACTTTTCATGTGTCTTTGGTTGTGATAAGTAGGCTCTCACCACCATTATACCAAAAGCTTCAAGTTTATTAGGTCTAGTTTTTTTTTTCACTACAGTAATTCATGAAACACTTGATTCTATTCCCAATTCCTATTTCATTTTTTCCGATTCTTGATTTCCCACTTCCAAGTCTAGTGCTAGAATTCTCAGATGTTAATAAATCGCTAAAAGAGGTAGAAACTAGACAACATGTTCTTTTGGTTCAAATCCTAAATAGCTAGTTGTGTTTGAAGTAAAGGTTTTAGTTGGAAAGGAACAACATGTTTATTTGGTTCAAATTCTGGGGTGTGGTTATTAATCATTCAACATTAGTTTGATTAGTTTTGTGTTCTTTATTTACCTGCTAAATCTAATCGATCTTTAAGGATTTCATCTTTATAATTGGTATCAGAACAAGAGCTCGTGTTTTCTATACACATTTCTTCTGTATGTTGAGATACTAGGGTATCCCCTTATATTGGATCCTGTTTAGTTGTCTTTATTAGTTTTCTGACGACTTACTGTGATCTTTATATTACCCTATTATTTGTTTGGTTTACACATCTGATTCATAGCAGGTTACAAAGATCTTGTTAAAATGCAACACAACGACTCCAATATTAACTCCTTGAATATCTTAAGCAGTATTGGATCAAATACAAGGATTCCAATACTCTTATCTCATGAGTATGAGGTTTGGGCTCTCCATTTTGAAGATTATGTCCTTGGTTCAAATGATAATGGCTATCTGATATGGGAAGCCATGACTCTAGGTCCATTCGTTCACACCAAGACCAAAAGAACCATCAAAACACAGAAAGAATATAACCAACTTCTTCTTGACGTCAAAGACGTGCCACAAGACGAGAAAGAAAATCTTATTAGCAACGTTAAAGCGATGAGGATTATCAGATTTGCTTTGCAAACAGACACGTTTCTCTTACTAAGTTCATGTGATACTGCGAAGGCTATATGGAACAGACTCAAGGAACTTTACTCCACTGACACAGATCTTGAGCATTCGACTCAAACACTTCTGCTTTTGGAGTTTGGGGCTTTCTTACAAAGCAAAATGAAAATCTAAGTTAGACATTCAACCACTACAACCATCTTCTTAGCAAGATGACCAAACACACCATTGGACGAGAAGTGATCGAGCAGAAGGTTACCTTTATGAACACACTCAGGTCTGAATGGATGGCATTTGTATCTACAGTTAAGGCACACGATCAATTTAAAAGTTACTCTTTGGCTATGTTGGTTGGTATTCTCAAGTCGCATGAATGCGTAGTGTCGAAGGAAGCGAAAGTAGTTTCTGGTATGGGGTCTCTAGCCCTTGTTGCGAAAGGAAAGACTGTGGTAGAAGAAGAATCTGAATCCGATCACTCTGAATGTCATCTTACGAATGAGGAGTATACTTTGATGATTTTGAATCCCAAGAGGTTTGTTAGGAAGAAATTTCCTTTGAACAAAAATAGAAATTGGCAAGGGAATTATAGCTTAGAAAAGGTGAAGGAAGAAACTAAGAGCACTTATCAAAAGGAGGATGATAAAAAGGAGAAGAAGGTAGTTGGTGACTCAGGCTATGACTGTAACTATTGTCATGACAAAAACCATTTGGCAAATTGACATTCTCACGAATGGTCTTAACATCTTGAACATACATAACATGTCTTTCCTTCGCAACATCCTTCAATGCTCTAAGGGCTCCATTAAAGCTCTCAAATTTAGATTTGTCCCTTAACTCATTATTCTTGTAAATTTGATCAAGTTTGTCCTGAATACAATGCTCTTGAGCTTTCAACATGACATCCACCTCGATACCCGAAACTGAATCTTTACCCCCACCATATACTTGTAATTGTAGCAACGAATTAAGCTTCCGATTAAGAATCTTAAATTGCTTCCCAGACATCAGCATGTGATCTGGAACGTCCTCTTCATTAGGATCAAACTCTATACTAGCAAAAGAACCCACGAACCCACCATAATCAGTTTCATCATCATTAATTGTTTTGGGACCTTCTATGGATTGTGATGGGAATAAGGAAGTAATGTGTTATTGCATGATATTCTCAAAGGTACGTGAATGAGTTGATGGAGGTGATTTGGTTGAAGTAGGAATAATAAATGGATGTAAAGAAACTGTGGTATAAACAAGAGGTGTTTCGAAGGTAGATGAGACAACAAGAGAAGGATTACCTTGGGGTGATGTATCCAATACTCCTTCACCCATAGTAACATTTACGTCCATATTAGATATGTTCACAGTGATGCCTGAAGTGTGAACCTCCTCATGAAATGATTCGACAGTCGAAACTCCCGGTGGTATGAATTTTGTCTTCTTAGGAGTAGACTTCTTCATTTGTTCACTTGGATTGATGGGTGTGTCTACTTTAGAAGTTTCCACAGTGCCATCAGGATTTCTAGTCACCTCGATATTCGAATTGAGTGGAGAATCCATCACATGTGAAGAATGGACCTTTTGATCATCTTGAACTAGAGACTTAGTCCAATGACCGAGTGGACCTATTTTATGTTTCCATTCCAGTCCGATGACTGATTAGGCTTGGGGTAATCCAACCCGATGGATGTGGATCCATAGGTATTCCAGTTCGATGACTGATTGGACCCAATATGCTTGTTCATTTGTGTTATGTGTTTTACATGGTGGTACTTTTGGGGGAAACTCATTGACTGATTAGGCCAGGGGTAATCCAACCCAATGGATGTGGACCCATGGGTATTCCAATTCGATGACTGATTGGACCCAATATGCTTGTTCATTTGTGTTATGTGTTTTGTGTGGTGGTACTTTTGGGGGAAACTGACAAAGCGTTGGCTTACAGTTTTTGGTTATGGTTTCAGGTGATGGGTTTTGAGCATTCTAACACTTCCTAAGTGTACATGCTACCCTAATAACCTTGGATCTATGTTTGTCTAATTATCATGAAAAGTTGAATTCCAAGGTTATATTCCTATCTAGCATACATGGGGAACAATTTTATCATAAAGTATAGATAGAATAACTTACCTTGTTGTTGTTTGTGTTCCTTGAAACCTTGTGAGCCTAGCACCCCAAGTGTGATGCCTCAAATGCTTCACACAACACCAAATGCTCTTGGAAGAACTTATGAGAGAACACACACTTCTTCAAAATCGGCCAAGCCCTCTTATTTCTTAGTGTAGCCGATTTTAGGTGGAGAACATGTTACTTATATAGTGTTGACACATCTAGGGTTAAACCCTAATGTGTCATGACTCTTCATTTCCATGACCCATGGGTTTGTAACTCCCATGGAGCATCCATGGAGCATCCTATGGGTGGAACCCAACTTGATAGTCCATGGAGCCTTTTAGCCCACTATACAAGATATGGATGATTTACATAATCAACCCATATATTTAATTAGTTATCTTTTGATCACATAATTAATTCTAAATTAATTCTTGATCAAACTAATCAAATAATATTATTAATATATTAGAACTTATAATATATTAATAATCTCCAAGTGTTATTTCTCTCATTTAGTCTATCCAATTGCATGGTGCCATGCAACCCAAATGGACCATGCCGGGTCGGGTCAAGTACATACCAGAAATAGTTATGGACTTAGACAGCTTATCCAACATCAGGTACCTCCGAGGATCATGGGAAGGTGAAGGCGTAACCGTACACATCCGGATTTTATGTTATTGATCTTGGAAAATTCTCTTTTGAATAATGTTTTGAAAACAATGGTTTTGTAAACACTTTTATTAGTAAATGGGTTGATTTTAAAAGTTTAAATTGGTTGTGATTTTTTAGACGTTACAAGTTGGTATCAGAGACTTGGTTTGAGCGGATTGGAGGAACACATGTGTATATCCAGTCTCAAGTAGACCCCAAATTACCATACAGTTATTTAATATTATGATATGTTAGAACATCATGCTAGTGATAGGCTAGGGGTCTTCAGGAATTGCATGATAGAATTGCCTGATTATATGATGCCTGGTAGCCTAGGGTTCTTCCTTATATGAAATTGACATCATTACTGTAGTTGCTTAGTGTATACATCAAAATTATAAATAACTAAGATTTTATTGCCAGTGTAGAATCATTATTCGATAGTCTATAGGATCCAGTGTTATGTTTGAGTAGCATACACAAGTGTTGCAGGGTTGGTGGAAGTTTCATGGATGAGTTATGTGGGGTCAACTGACCAGTTGTGGGATATATATCCTTTTTCTAGGAAGTGACAATATGGTGTATGTGTATTTTAGTGAGTGTGGTTAGGGTTGTTGGTGATGATCTTTTGATTAAAATACGGGTAGGTGTGGAAGGCAGTATAGGCCCATACTACTGTAAGCACATGACCCGTACACATAGCAAGGAAGTCACAACCCCTAGGGCTTGTTGGGAAATGGTTCCTATGTTATGATATTAGTTTTATCAACATCTCTCTAGTTTATTTTCAGTGATGTGCTTTCGAGACGATGTGAGTCAGGATCCAAATTAGTTGGCCAAGATGGACTAGGATTGACTGAGGATTGAGTTATGGAGATTATCCATGAGGAGGTTGCTGCTATTTTCCGGGGACAGATACCAAAGTTATTTTGGTCTATCAAGTCTGCCATGATGGAGCTCTTTGATGACCTATATATTTCTCTTTTATAGACTGCTACTGTTGTAGCCACCACAACCATTGTTTCTACGGGGATTGGTGTTGGGATAGCTTTCCAGTACCAAGACTTCAACAATATGAAGCCCCCGATGTTTAATGGGGTTCAGGATCTGATCATTACCGTAGGGTGGCCATCAGATGTTGAAGCATGTTTCTTTACTTGCTTTTGCGTAATTGACCAGAGGGTCAATTGTGCTCTAAAGATTCTCGGGTTCGGAGCGAAGGATTGGTGGAGACTGATTTCTAGTTCCTACACTCCAGAGTAGAGCATTGCAGTATCTTGGGAGCAGTTCTCTGAGATGCTCTGCTCACTATACGTTCCATTGGTGGAGCGAGAGAGGCTGGCTCAGGAGTACTTGGATCTGAGACAGCGGATCTAGTCGGTGACGGATATCACCAAGATGTTTATAGAGAGAGCTATGTTTTGCACTGAGTTTGCTTCTTCTGAGCAAGCTCAGATGACCCGGTACTTGAGCATGCTTGAGATGGACATCCGTCAGTTTTTGTCTGCTCAGTGTTGTGGTTCACTGGTGGAGTTGCAAGAGGCCTCTAGGCGGTAGGAGATTGAGATGGAGCTCTAGATGAGGGAGCAGAGGCAAGTGCCGACGCAGTCACAGTCTGCGCCAAAGTGGTTCGAGGCCATAAATGTTAGACCTGGGATTCAGAGGGGCCATACATGTGGAAAGTGTGATAAGGTTCATGATAGTGCTTGCCGATATTCTTTCGGATTCCACAAATATGGCAGGAAGGGCCACATTACGAGGGACTGTCGTCAGCAGGCTCCAGTACCCATCACCAGGATTTACTATCACTGTTATCAGGTGGGCCATGTAAAGGCCAACTATCACTTGCTTGCTTCTAGACCGGTGCAAGCTGCAACGCCGACTACTCTCAGGATCACAGATGGGAGCTATGGTAGGGTAGAGCCTCTGAGGGCTTGAGGTTGTGCTTTCCAGCTTACGGTAGTGGAGGCCAGGGCAGCACCAGACGTCATGACATGTATGTTTCTATTTATTGTTCTGTCAATTATTTTATGGTATGCTTATATTTATGATTGTATTAGGCACCTTCCTAGTGAAATATTTGTATGATCTTGTGCTTTTTGACTTGTGTGTGAGTTGGTCTTTTGTATCCTAAACGCTTAGTGAGGAGTTTGATATGCCTCTTGCTGAGTTAGAGTCTCCATTGCGGACTTCTATTGCCAACAAACATGGGGTTTTTTTGCATCTAATGTATATCAAGGTTGTGTATTGGATATCTTTGGGGCGCCTTACTCGATTGATCTAATCCCTATCTGTATACGGGATGTATGCGTGATAGCAGGGATGGATTGGCTAAGCATCTTTGGTTTCATGATTAACTATGAGGGCCAGAGAATAGTAGTTCGAACCTCAAGTGAGGGAGAATAGTTTATATATGGAGTGGACACCAGGGTTGGTTCAGGGTTTTGTTTGGCATCCAGGGCTTGACAATATGTTCATCATGGGTGTGCGGGTTATCATTTTAATGTGGTAGATACTTGGGTTAGGGAGTACGTATTGATTTCATATGTGCCAGTTTTTAGGGAATTTTCCAATGTATTCCTGAAGGATTTACCCGGTGTGCCTCTAAAGAGGCAGGTTGAGTTCAGGATTGAGCTAGTGCTAGGTGCGGCTCCGACTGCCAAGGTGTCGTACTGCTTGGCACCTCCCAAGATACATGAGTTGTCCTCTCAGCTTCTGGAGTTGTTAGGCAAGTAGTTCATCAGATTGAGCAGTTCGGCATGGGGAACGCCAATACTTTTCGTCAAGAAGAAGGATGGTTCACACCAGATATGCATTGATTACCGGGAGTTGAACAAGTTAAGGGTGACGAACCATTATTCCTTTTTGCGGATTTATGACCTCTTTGATCAGTTTCTGGGTACATCTTGGTTCTCCAAGATCGAATGGAGGTCTGGATATCATCGGGAGAGATTGAGAAAGGAGGACGTGGAGAAGACCGCGTTTCGGGATCATTGTGGGGATTACGAGTTCATGGTGATACGATTTGGGATCACCAATGTGCCTACAGTGTTTATGGATTTGATTGATCAGGTGTGTAGCCTGATACTCTACCGGTCGGTTATTGTATTCATTGATGATATCTTGGTGTATTCTAAGACCAGGGAGCAGCACGAGGAGCACCAATGAGATTTTCTGGGAGTATTGAGGCAGGAACGATTGTATGCTAAGTTATCGAAGTATGAGTTTTGGTTATGAGAGGTCCAGTTCCTAGGACATCTCATTACCCAAGATGGGATTTTGGTTGATCCGGCCAAGATCGAGACTGTGATGCAGTGTGAGGTTTTGAAATCTCCCTCAGAGATAAGGAGTTTCTTGGGTTTGGAAAGATGCTATCAAATATTTATTCAAGAAAATCTCCAAGATCGCAGTACCCCTCACTCGTCCGACGAGGAAGGGAGTGGATTTCTGATGGGGCCCTGAGCAACAAGTTTTTTTTTGACACGCTACGACGGATGTTATGTGAGGCCCCAATATTGACTCTTCTAGAGGGTGTTGAGGATTTTGTGGTATTTTTTTGATGAGTCCATCCCTGGTTTAGGGTCGGTCCTTATTTAGAGGGGGTGAGTGATTACTTATGCTTCCTGGAAGCTGATGCCGCATGAGATGTGGTATCCTACTCATGACTTGGAGTTGGGGGCAGTGGTATTTGCCCTTGAGATTTGGACACATTATCTTTATGGGGTCTGTTGTACTATGTACACAGATCACAAGAGTTTGTGATATCTTATGGACCAACTAAACCTTAACAT